GTGGGCTCACACGCGAGATGTTCGACATGTCGTCTGCTTTCCAGATGATCGACAAGATGCTGAGCGACTTCTCAGCGCCTCCCTGTGCTGCCTGTGCTCGCTGTGGATGTTCGCTGTGTGGGCGGCTCGGCGTCGCCGTATCTGATCTTGGTCAGGCCGTCGAGGCGTGCGAGCGTTTTACAGTTCTGCCAGATTGGGCCCTCCTTGCCCGCGCTGCCGAGCAACGCTTTTATTCAACATCAGTTTCGGTCCAACGTGTTTCGTTTCGCTTCGCGTTCATAGAACACAACCGGGTCCCGCGCCGTGCGCCCACCGGACGCCCGCCGCCCGGCCCCGGGCGCGCCGCCCCTCACAGCTGCCGCAAGCAGCCGCTCCGAGGGAGGATATGGGCGCCGCCAGGTGGTGGTCTCTCACACCCCATCGTGCCTCCACATCTGCAACACCTCCAGCTGTCCTCCCCGCCCGACCTGGGCGGACAGCGCAGGTCCGCACCGGGGCAGGGAAGGGTGGAGGGAGGGGGGGGCGCTGCTCTCCCCACTGACTCACAGTGGACAGCGCGGAACCGCGAGAAAACGGCCCCTCCCCCGCCACGTTGGACACGAGGCGGACGGACAGCCCGGCGGTGCTTGGCCCTTGCGGCCAAACCCAGCCGTGGCCCTCGTAACGTTGCTGCATTGGCCAGGGACCTTGCTACGCCCTTTGTCGATGAGCACGGGCTTGGCGAAGAGCTGGCTTGCGAGTGCTGGTGATGAGATGGTCTCATTTCTAGTGTTGGAGTTCATTCTGGAATTGTATTTTCTTGGGTACCCGCCCTCAGTATTCCGAGCTGTGGTGCATCCCCTTCCGTGTGTACGTGGGTCTCTTGCTGCGAAAAGTGTCACGCGGATCTGGTTGAAGCAGAAGCCTGGGACCAAATGAGGGCTTCGTGGTGTGAGTTACCCCTCTCCCCTGTTTTCCTTCCCTGTCCCTGTATCCTTTCTTCCCCCCTCCATCGCCTGCCTGCTCGAGCGGCTGGCATCCGGCTTGTGCACGCGCGCTCCAGCATGTCGGATGGGCGCTTCCCGGCCGCCATGATCAGAAAGAGTAGTCGTCACAAGTGCTGCTACTGTTGGTCGCGCTGGCGGTGGTGGCGCTGGTCGCTGGCGTGGTTGGGTTGTTGCTGCTGTGGTTGGTTGTGCGCGGGGCGATGCTGCTGGTGGCGCCTTCTCTGCTGGCCGTCGTTGTGGTGGTGCTGCTGGTGCTGCTGGTCGTCGTGGAGGTGTTGGTGCTGCCTGTCGCCGTGCCCTCGTCGTTTTACTGTCGGCAGAGGCTCCGCGGCGGCGGGGCCCGGGCGTGGGGCCAGCAGGCAGGCGCGCGGCATTGCCGCCCCACGCCCAGGAGTTGGGGCCGGCAGGCGGGTGTGCGGCGGCCCCGTCCCGCCTCCCGCCTCCGTTCCGCTCTGCGAGCTTGCGCTCTGCTGCGCCCTTGGCTGTCCAGCAAGTCTTTCTGGCCTTTGGAGCGGGGGCCCGGGCGTGGGGCCCGTAAGCGGGCGCGCAGCAGCGCGCCCGGAAGGTGGAGCCCGCGGGCGGCTGCGCGGCAGCCCCGTCCCATCTCCCGCCCCCGCTCCACTTTGGGCCCCTTGCCCTGTGGTGGTGGTGCTGGTTGTGGTGGTAGTGTGGGTGGTGCTGCTGGTTGTGGTGTGGATGCTGTCGTTGTGGTGGTGCTGCTGGTGCTGCTGGTCGTCGTGGAGGTGTTGGACCAACACCAATGGTGCTGTCCTTCGCCGTGTCCTCGTCGTTTTTCTGTCGGCGGAGGCTGCGTGGCGGCGGGGGCCCGGGCGCAGGGCCAGCAGGCGGGCGCGCGGCAGTCCCGTCCCACGTCCGGGAGGTGAGGCCCGCAGGCGGGTGCGCGACAGCCCCGTCCCATCGCCCGCCCCCGTTCCGCTCTGCGAGCCTGCGCTCTGCTGCGCCCCTGGCTGTCCAGCAAGTTCTTCGGGCCCTTGGAGCGGGGGCCCCGGCGTGGGGCCCGCAGGCGGGCGCGCCGCAGCCCCGCCCCGCGCCCGGAAGGTGGGTCCCGCGGGCGGGTGCGCGGCAGCTCCGTCCCACCTCCCGTCCCCGCCTCACTCTGGGCCCCTTGCCCCGTGGTTGTGGTGCTCGTTGTGGCGGTAGTGTGGGTGATGCTGCTGGTTGTGTTCGCGCTGCTGTCGTGGTGGTGGTTCTGCTGGTTGTGGTGTTGCTGGTCGGCGTGGCGGCGGTGTCGGTGTTTGTGATCGTGGTTGCAGTGCTGCTGGTTGGAGTCGTGGTGGTGCTGGCGTCCTCTGCCGCAGCCTCGCGGTGGCGGTGGTGTTCTGCACCCCTGGCTCTCGCCCCGCCGGGGGCCGCCCCCCTCGGGGGCGCGCTGGCGTGCGGCTAGGGATTGGCGCCTCTGTGTGGCGCGCGTCCGCCAGGATGTCCTGCAGCCAGGGCTCGTCGCCGTCGTAGGCGAGGCCGTCCAGGGGCAGGTGCAGCAGGGAGGCCGCGAAGGCCCGCTGCGCCGCCACCGAGGCGAGGCCTGTCCACCGCTGGATCCAGCTGCCTTCACCGAGGCGCGCAGTGGCTCCAGCGCGGACTGGGCCTTGCAGTCTGCCAACAGGCGCACGGACTGGAGGGCCTCCTGCGACCGCCGGCCCCCCGCCCCCAGGGCCATGACCGCGAGACGGCAGCGCCTCGCGTCCAGGAGCTCCGGGTAGGCGGTCTCCTTGCGCCTGCGGGCCTCGCGAAGCCACGCCCCGTCCGCATCTGCCGTGCGCGGGTGGGCCGCGCCGCCCCGGCCCAGAGGGCCCTGGCAGAACAGCGTGGCGTCCACGGCCAGCTGTGCCCCTCCCCGCAGCGGCATGCCGTCAACGATCACCTCGAGCCGCTTGCCGTCGCCCGTGCCGACGCCGTCGACGTTCAGGTCCTGCAGGAACTGGTTCTCCGCCACTCTCGCCCCTGCCTCGCGGCAGAGGCGGGCCGCCGCTTTCTCCAGGGGGGCCCCGTGTTTCTGGGGGGCGCCGGCTGTGGGGAAGGCCGCCCTGTGGTCCCCTCTGCTGTCGAGTCGCGCTCGGCACCTGCACGCGCCTGCCGTGAATGGTAAATCAGGGCGCAGGCCGGCGTCGCAGGAGGAGGACGCGCAGCTCCGCGGGTGGCACTCGCGTGGGCTCACTGGTGGGCAGGACCGTGAACGCCCGGCCGGCGCACGGGCAGGTCTGGGAGCGCAGCAGGGCGCGCTCTGGGGCCTGCATGCGTTGCGTGATGCCGTCCCTGGCTCGATCGTCTCTTGCTCGGGCCGCCCAGAATTGCCAGCCGTGCGCCCACTCTCCCATCTCCCTGTCGTGCGTGGGTGGGGGGCGCGCTCCCAGCGCCAGAGCCGTCCAGGTGGGCGTCTCGTAGCCTTCCAGGGCCAGCTGGCGCCGCGCCTCGGCCGCCTGGCGGAGGCCCGGCGGGGGCCTGGCCGCTCCTGCGTCAAGGGCCCGGCAGATGTCCGCCGTGATAGTCGGCGCCCGCTCTTGCATCATCGGCAGGCAGTCGGCCCAGGAGGCCCGCCATGCCGCAGGCGCCACGCGGACAGCGCGGCGCAGGCTTATGCCACCGAGGCGCAGCGGGAGTTGCGCGACCTTCCTGGCCTTCTCTCTGGCGGCCAGCTGGTCCTCGGGGGCCCCCGGGAGGTCCGTAACCGTCTTCGCCGTGTGCTCGTCGTGGGCCGCCGCGAATTCGAGCGCGTCGTCATTGGTGCCAGTGTGCGCAAGTAGAAGTTGGCCCGCGGGTTGGCACACGTGCCCAGGAGAAGCCAGGCGATCTGGAGGTCGCCCACTTGTCACATCCGGTGCAGGAGTACGCGGTCGTCTGCCAGCAGGGAGCGCATGTGGAGGCGGGCGAATTCCGCGTGCCCGATGGGCGCGCCAAGGACCACCATGCCTTGCTCGTGCGGCGGCGCAGCGGTGTCTCCGACCCACGCCCGGTCTTGCTCGGTGCCTAAATGTCGTCCAAGACTGCTAAGAGGTGCTCCCCGGGTAGTCATTGGGCCTGCACTTCATGTAGGGCAGGGTGTTGGCCCAGGGCGAACAGCGCGGGCATCAGGGGATCGCACTGCTCACCGCCTTCTGCCTGCTCCACTACGTGGGCGTCCCCGTGCTGGTCTGTCCAGAGGTATTGCGAGCCGGGCCCGCATGACATTCTGCAGAAGGGTAGCGCCGAGCTCGCGGCCGGGAGGCCTGCCAACCCCTGTAGCACGGCGGTGCGCGACGTGAGGTCGAACGCGCCAGCGCCGTCTATGGAAAGCATTGTCGCCTCTGGGTTGGCCTGCGTCAAGCTCTGGATGAGATTTGCCGCGCATTCTGTGCCCGCCCTGGTGGGCAGGGCAAACTGACATGGTGCTGTAGCTGCCTCCACCTCATCGTTTATCTGTTGTGCCACGCAGCGAGCCACCAGCCCCCTCAGCACGCCTCCTGTCACGATAGCAAAAGACAGTTGTGAACATCTGATTCAGCGTGCGATTCGTATCTCCCCTGGTGGTAATCAAGTTCGCCCTCGCCGCCCCGCCCGTTTATCAAGTATAAGCGCACCCGGGATATTCCGGAGTCGGGGGTTTAGTGGTTGGTGGGTGTGTTTTATTATCACGGGTACGCACTTGCACTGTTAGCGTGCCAGTCTTCGCGAGCGCAGCCCAAGCGAATTCGACAGTGCCAACAGCAAGCCGGGCAAATTGCCTGTCGAGGCGGACGCATCTGGTCCCTGAAACGATGCCGACAGCGACAAGCTCCAGCGGGCAAAAGGCACAAGTGCGGCGAAGGGTGATGCGGCACTGCCTGCGCTATTACTTTAGGAGAGGAAGGCGAAGAACGTCCAAGCCGAGAAAGGAGGGGAGGGAGGATGGAGGGGATCAGACAGATAGACAGCGTGCCTCCGAGGATTGGCTGGCAGACAACCTGGCGGTGACAGAAGCAATTTTTCCAAAGATGTCGCATATCTGTTTCGGCAGGCGTCTCCCGCGGGGTCCGCGACCCAGTTGCAGGCGGGATATCCCAGAGGGAGCATTCGGAGCAGCTCCGGCGTGCCGCTCGAGCTGGCGGTGCGCGTGTCTGTCCGCATCCAGATGATGGTGCCGAGGGCACTGCGCACCAGCTCCTGGCCCTCGGTGCCGATGCCTGCAAATGCACTCGCAGTGGGTGCGACAGACGCGTGGATGTACACCTCGCAGACGCAAAATCACGATGCGGGCCTGGACCTCCGTAGACCATGGACCATCCAGGACCTCGTCGCGCGCGGGCCTGGTGCTCGACGTGCCCTGGGCCCTCCAATCTGCGTTGATGTTTGGGCAGCGTTGCGCCTTTCAGGTGCGCCCCGTTGCCCCGCGCTCCCTTGCGAAAGAGCTCGCGGGTCTTCTTCGCCGCCTTGGTGGGCATTTGCTCATCTGGGAGGGCTGTGCCATTGGCGCCCACCTGAGGTGTGCTGCGAACTTGATGGCCGCGCGGGCCTTGGTCGCCTTTCTTCTCGAGCGCCGCGTGGCCAGCTATCGGGGAGATTCTGCAGGAATCGCTGACCCCCACTCCAGCGATCGCTAAAGCGCTGGCCCGGGAGCACGCCGCTGGCAGCATTGGCCAGCGCACCGTGATAGCTTCACTGAGCAGCCCTGCGGTTGCGCCGGCAGGTGCCCAGTCCGGCCAGGATGTCCAGCGCCGCCAGCTCCTGACGCGACCTTCCCGGATGGGCTTGGCCTGTCCGCGCATCGATCCGCAGGAGCGCCCAGCAGCAGCCCGCATCTCCGGTGCTGGGCTCAATGCGGTTGGCCACCTGCCAGAACAGGATGGGTAAGTTTTTTGATCCGGTCCTGCCAGCCAGTGGGCCCGATCAGGGGGCGTGTTTTTCTGTAGCGTCGGGTTCTACGATAAGATTCGACCACCTTTGCGGACGCCGCCCGGGCCTAGCTAAGACCAGGTGGGCGAGGCTGTGGCTTCAGGAGTCTTGTGTGTCTCAGCGACATGCAACACGAGATGCCTAAATAGTTAATAGAGGAGGGAGGAGGGAGAGGTCCTTGGAGTCGGCGTCGGCGCGGAGCACGGCATGCTTGGGCGTGTCTGTGTGGGGCGGAAAGGGGGGGGAGGGAAGGGAAACGTCCTTGACTTCGATGTCGGCGTGGTGCTCGTTCACGAGTTGGTGTTGTGTTGCTCGAGAGTTGACCACGTGATGCTTTCCTGGGCTGTACGAATCTACGCGAGGTCTTTTGGTCGCTCGTTGTCGCGCGTAGGGGCCCAGGCTGAGTGGAGGTTTGGCTTGTGCCGGCGTAGGTGAACGAGAACTTCATCGTCCCCGCGCTTGTGCTGGCCCCCTTGTTGTCGAAGGGCGTCTCGCAGCCGCTGCAAAGCCATCCGCGTCCACCTGGTGGGAGTGTGGTGGGCGACTTTTGCTGTCATTCTCCCTACCTTTAAGTCGGGCGCGTCCCCCTCAGGGGGATTTTCGACGAAAAACAAAAAATGCGCCCAAACTACCCCAAGAATGTCCAAACATATTCCCAAAATAGTACCCCGACTATTTTTGGACATTTGGTTATAGCATAGTTCGGATATTTTTCATTTTATGTCGAAAATCCCCCTGTAGGGGGACAGGCCCGACTTAACCCTACCTTGTCTTTGCGTGTCGTCACCCAGCTGTCTACGCGGTGGGACTTTATGAGCTGCTCTGCGCGTCGCGTGGCGCGTTGGATCTGTTCGGCCCGAGGTCCCCTGAGGTCCAGGTCGTGCCGCTGCTGTCTGGTGGGGGGTCGCCCCGTCGCTGAGGCGTCCTGATAATCATGCGAAGCCTGCGTCGCTGTGCCCGCCGGAGGTGCTGCCAAAATGGTCCCATGAGTGTCCACGTGTCGGCTCCGTACAGTTGTCGGTGTGGCAGTGCTGTAGAAAACCCTGAATCGGTGTGCGACTGTGTAGTGCTTACTCGTCAGTTCCTGTTGGTGCGAAGTGAACAGTGCCCATGCGGCTTTTGTGCGACGATGGACTTCTGCCTCCTTGGAACTGTGGAAGCTCATCTGTTGACCGAGAAACTTGAAACTGTCCTCGTAAGGGAGAATCGCGGGGTCCATGTCCTGGACGCGTGCTGTGCGTGAGCTCGCCCTGCCTGTCCTCCTCGTGCGGTTGCTAATTAATGATTCTGGTTTTGTCCGGGTGTAGCTCGTGCTCGCGGGGTCGCGCTGCGCTTTCTATGTCGTCGAGCATGGTGGTGAGGCGCAGAAGCGCTTGGCTCGTCAGGGGCACGTCGTCGGCGAAGCGTAAGTTGGTGAGGGTTGAGGTGGCCGTGAATCCTAGCCGTACTCTTTTGCGTGTCTTCTGCCAGTCAGTGATCAATGGTGCAGTGATCTGCTGCAGAAGTGCGTTAAAAAGGGAGAAACTGGGTGGGCCACCTTGCTTCGTGCCCCGCATAAGACTGGACGGTCTGGTGGTGACCTCTGTCTTCACCGTGGCCGTTAGTCCTGCATATAACTGTTGGAGTAATGCACTGTACCCTTGTGGTACACCCTACGTTTCCAGTGCTGTCCAAATTCTATTGTGCTCGACAGAGGCAACACCTTTTTTTTTCCTACCTAGGCCCTGCCTAGAAGGGTTCTTTCTCTGTTTGCTTAAAGGGCCGGGCAGTGCTCAGCGCCCCGGGCGGTTCCCCCGGTTGCGCTCGGAGCGGTTCCCCCAGTTGCGCCCCCTAGCTTTAGCTTTAGCTTTAGCTGTAGCTTTAGCTTTAGCTTTAGCTTTAGCTTCAGCTTTAGCTTAGCTTTAGCTTAGCTTTAGCTTAGCTTTAGCTTAGCTTTAGCTTAGCTTTAGCTTAGCGTTAGCTTTAGCTTTGCTTTAGCTTAGCTTTAGCTTAGCTTTAGCTTAGCTTTAGCTCAGCTATAGCTTAGCTTTAGCTTAGCTTTAGCTTAGCTTTAGCTTAGCTTTAGCTTAGCTTTAGCTTATCCGCCACCGCAGGTGCACGCCCCCATTCTCGAGGGGCCTCCCCGGTGCGGATCCGACTGCTAGGGCCGCACAGGCGGCCGCCCTGCTTGCCTGGCCAGGCACCTGCCGCGGCCTGCCCGCAGCCCTGCAGCTGATGACCTGCGTCTCCAGCTTCGGGTCCTGCGTCTTGCAGGATACCGCCAGAGCGCACTGCCCCAGCATGCCATTCTCGCACGTGCTGGCCCTGACACTGTAGCTGACGACGTTCGGCTCCAGCTTCGGATCCCGCGTCTTGCAGGATGCCGCCGGAGCGTGCTGCCCCAGCGTGCCCTTCTCGCACGTGCCGATCCTGGCACTGTAGCTGATGACGTTCGGTTCCATCCTCGGATCCTGCGTCTCGCAGGATAGCGCTAGTGCGCGCTGCCACGAGGTGCCCGTCCCGCAGGCGCCGACCCCGGCACTGCAGCTGATGCGGTGACGTTCGCCTCCAGCTTCGGATCCCATGTCTCGCACGTTCCGGTCCCGGCAGTATAGCTGATGACGTTCGGTTCCATCCTCGGATCTTGCGTCTCGCAGGATATTGCCAGGGCGCGCTGCCACAGGGTGCCCTTCTCGCGTGCGCCGATCTCTTCACTCCAGCTTATGACGTTCGCCTCCAGCTTCGGATTCCATGTCTCGCAGGTTTCCCCGATCCCGGCGCTGCAATTGATGACGTTCGGCTCCAGCTTCGGATCCCACTTCTCGCACACGCCTGTCCCAGCGCTGGAGCTGATGGCGTTCGGCTCCATCCTCGATTCCCGTATCTCGCAGGGCAGTTCCAGAGAGCGTCACCGCATCCTTCCTGCTCGCCCACGCCGATTCCGGCACTGCGGCTGATGACGGCGCTGAGCGCGGTTATCTTCGCCTCCTCCTCCTCCTCCTGCGGCGTCTCCTCTTTTGCGCGTGTGTGTGTGTGTGTGTGTGTGTGTGTGTGTGTGTGTGTGTGTGTGTGTTCGTGTTCGTGTTCGTGTTCGTGTGTGTGTGTGTGTGTGTGTGTGCGTGCGTGCGTGCGTGCGTGCGTGCGTGCGTGCGTGCGTGCGTGTGTGCGTGGGCGATTGTGTGTGTGTGTGCGTGTGTGTGTGTGTGTGAGAGAGTGTGTGTGTGTGGTGTGTGTGTGTGTGTTTTTGAGTGTGTTTGCGTGTGCGCGTGTGTGAATGTGTGTGCGTGTGTGTGTGTGTGTGTGTGTGGTGTGTGTGTGTGTGTGTGTGTGTGTGTTTGTTTTTGTGTGTGGACGGGTTTTGTCTGGACTCTCCAGAGCCCCCTCCTCGCAGCCCCCACCACTGCCGTCCCACTGCCGTTTTTCTGTCGCTGACCATAACATTTCGTCTGGGAGGCTCTCCCCTCTGGCTTTCATGCTGTCTCTCGCGGCTGGGTTGTACCTGACTGGCTCAGGCGCGCCCTCCTGGCCTCACAGAGGCCGCTCCGTGGCGTTCGCTCCTGGGCCGTTTTGCGGCCCCGTGCCACGCCTTCTCCGGCCCGCGGGCGTTGGGGGCGCCGCCTCTCCGCTCGCCTGGCCCCCTCGATGCGGCCGCCGCTCCGGACCGCAACGTCGTCGTTGCAGGTCTTGTCTTGAGTCGTGCGTATCCCCCTAAAGGAGGATTTCCGACGAAGAATTTAGAATACCCAAAGAATATTCCCAAACGGTCAACAAATAGTAGAAAAATCGTCCCGATATTATTTTTTGATCATGTTTGAATATTCCCCCTGCAGGGGGACACGCCCGACTTAAGTCTTGTTCCCGAGCTGCCGTGAGGGTGGCTGGCTTCATCCCCTGCGGCGGGGCAGGGCACGCGCGCGTCTTTCGGTCGCCCCTGCTGCTCTCTCAAGCCCGCGCTGGTCCCACCGGCCACTGCCACCTGGTGGGCAGACCTCGTGACCCTCTCCTTCGCTCGGTGCCGGCTCGGTCAAGGGTGCCGGGCCCCACCTGGCCACCGCTTGTGCGAGTCGTGCCCCCCGCGCGGCCTCCGCCCCCCCGGCGGGCCGGGTTCCCCGCAGGGCCCTCGCAGGCCTCCGCCACGCCGCACGTGCCCCCCCCCCCCCCCCTACCCCCCCCCTACTGTTTTAGTGGCTGCGCCAACTACACGTGGCAGATGAGGAGGGTATGCCCCCAAGGGGGGTGCGATCAGAGACGAAGGGGACGGATATCGAGGGTCGGGGGTAGACGTGTAAATTGACAGGCGGGCAGACCATGGGGAGGAGTCCAGACATGATCGTTGTTGGATAGTCGTTCAAGTCGTTCTTAGAGAACCAGTGTCCATAACATGCGGAAGGTTGACGGAGCAGTCTCCTTCGAGCGTGGGTGACATTGTCGGGCATCGTTTAATTGTCGATAATATCGCCGTCTGCGCAGACAGATGGTGGAGTGGGATGGCGCTCAACTGGGCGCCGTGTCATAGGGCCCAGGCTGCGAGAACGCGAGGCGGACAGCACAAACGCTGGACCTACGCCTAGCGACGATACAGTATTTTCAACAACCAGGTGCAAGGCCGGAGGTGCAGGGCGCTCCTTGACACTCTATGGGTTGTCTCTCCCTCTCCCTCTCTCTCTATACTGTTTCCCCTCCACTGTTTTTTCCATGTCTGGGGTGTCGTTCGAAGCCCCCGACTCTTCATGCTTTTCCCTCGCCTTTCGGTACCGGCCCAGTGCCCTGCGAACCCTTTCTCCCGGTGCCCTCTGA